ATAATTTGATACTAAACTATAAATTTTATATATAAATTGGCTATACTTTTAATAGCACAAAATTTTTAACAATAAACTTACGATCTCAAATTTGGACTTTTAAAAATGAGTTAATTGGGATAAATATAATTAAGTGTGAACATTATGAGTTGATTATGTAACTGATGTAACAGTCACATTTATGTCTATCATTATTACATTCCGTTACAAATGTATATTACATATATGTATGGTTGTAATATGAAAAGAGCAGATGATGAATACACAGGTGAATGAAGAGATGATTCTCCCTTTCTCCCTTATCTCTCTATTTCTGATTTTATTTTTAACACGTTATCGGCACTTTGCTCTAAACAAAAAAAACTAGGTTCGGCCACGTCTTCACAATTTTCGGCGCCGGCGGGCCTCAAACCGGCGATCGGCTCCGTCCACCTTCTTCGTCACGTCGAGGCGATCATGGAGGTGGGTCAGCCGCCTCCCAATTCGGTGGAACAAGAGCTGGATCGGGTGCGTAATATTCTGACCGATTTGCGCCGTTGAGGTGTGAACTTGTCTCCATCGGCGATTCGCCGTCTTCAGGTCAGCGATGGAGCCTTGGAGCCGTCCGGTGTTGTCTCTGATGTCCAGCAACATCATCGCCATCCTCAATCGATCGATCGACGACCTCAGTAATCCAAGCTTTGTCAGTGATCGATTACAAGATCGTGGTGTTATAATGTCCAAGGGGGAGTGTTATAAATATAATTAAGTGTGGACATTATGAGTTGATTATGTAACTGATGTAACTGTCACATTTATGTCTACCATTATTACATTCCGTTACAAATGTATATTACATATATGTATGGTTGTAATATGAAAAGAGCAGATGATGAATACACAGATGAATGAAGAGATGATTCTCCTTTTCTCCCTTATCTCTCTATTTCTGATTTTATTTTTAACATTAATGAGTTAAATACCTCTTAAAATTTTTCTCTACCCATCGACCCATCCAAAAGTTATATGCATTAATACTAAGGAGCAACTCATTTTGGAAAATATTTGGTGTACTCTCGTTTTCAACTCTCAACTTGTAGTCTCTCTCACATGCTCTTGATGTAGACATTTTGCTGTGGACTCACATGATGAAAATAACCAATCCTGATTTGTCACTCAGGAAGTATAAATGAGGGAGTAAAATTTTGGGAGTCTATGTAGTACAACTCACTCATTTTATCTTTTTTCCTTTTTACTTGATTAGTGAGTGATATGATGTGTAACAAGAATAGTACTCTCTAAACTAATTCTTTTAGCATTTTACTTTAAAATTATATGTTTGCCCAAAGACGTCCCACAAATGCATACTGTTCTTTTTGTCCATACAAATATTTGGTGGGTGATTTCCATAATAAATTTTGGAGGCCATATATCATCGTAATGATTTGCGTCACCCAAACACGCCTTTCTGGAAAGGATGGTCTGCCGTCTGCTTAACTTAAAAAAAAAAAAAATCGAAAATTTATTTTATAATATTTTATGGTATGATGGTGGCAACTATCAAAAGTTCATGGCACTTGGACTACGCCACCAAAACATAAACATATAAATATTAAATGGAGACATAAATATATAAATATTAAATGAAATTATGCCATGGGTCTTGTGATACAATGACACTAAGTTGCTTTCTTATAGGGGAGTATGTGAGTTTAAGTCTTAGTGGATGCGATATTGACTCTTTATACTTTATTCAGTTGAAACAGATACAACATTGTAATAGAGTTAGTAATATCTTGTTTTTGTCATTTAACATTTCAGACTATTATTTTTTTGAACACTTTTAGTCCTTCTCATATAAGTTTTTCTACTTTTAGTATCTTGTGGCATTTTTTGAATTTAATATCAAACTATTGTTTTTGTCATTTAACATTCCAGACTATTATTTTTTTGAACACTTTTTAGTCCTTCTCATATAAGTTTTCCTACTTTTAGTAAGGATATTTTTTTCACTGCATATTTTTCTTTTGTTATTTTTTTGGTTTAATTATTGTAGGACTTTACTAAACACCGATTGAAAAATATGGTTACTAAAAATCAGATGTCTAAACCAATTAAACCGGTTGAAATCGAAAAATAACAAAAAAAAAATATGAAAAGACAAAAATACAATTACTAAAAATAGAAAAAGTAATAAGAAGGACTAAAAGTGTTTAAAAAATATTAGTCTGGGATGTTTAATGACAAAAACGATAATCTAGGACTAAATTTAGAATTGCCATCAAAGACAATGGATCTCTTGTGGAATTAACTAAATGTGTCAAAAGAGTATCTAGGAGACGACTAGAACTTCAATTCAATTTTGTGTTAGATATAAAATATATACGGAGTAGTAACATAAACTGAATGAAACTTGAATCACAAGTAATCTAACCTCGTGACAATGAAAGTTTTAGGATCATTTGAATATCTCTTGTACGTCATAGTTGTTGTTGGTTGTGGTAATAAACTTGTAGAATAATGTTTAGTGTTTTTGTCTATCACTTTTATCCTGAATACTAGATGGTGTGTGTGTGTTCGGAATACAATAGTTGTGGTGAGAATATTTTGATTAGAAACCTATGTGGCATCATTATAGGTAGATATTCAGTTATAACGGACTAAATCACTTATTGACTTAATCATTCACTTGCACAACAACCACTTAATATTATGTTGTATTATATTATGTGAGAAAATACTTACATTTTGTTCACCTTAGCTTAAACACTACATTATGTCTGCCGTTGTTTATATTATGTGATTTTTTTTATCCTGAATACTAGATGGTGTGTGCGTGTTCGAAATACAATAGTTGTGATGAGAATATTTTGCTTAGAAACCTATGTGACATCATTATAGGTAGATATTCAGTTATAACGGACTAAATCACTTATTGACTTAATCATTCACTTGCACAACAACCACTTAATATTATATTGTATTATATTATGTGAGAAAATACTTACATTTTGTTCACCTTAAACACTACATTCTGTTTGCCGTTGTTTATATTATGTGATTTTTTTTTTTACTTCATTTGTGTTGTTGAAAATTTTAGGCTAGTGCAATCCCGCACCACAAACTACAACGAATTCTTCATGCCAAACCCTGATCTTTCATAAGTGATATTTCAATCCATGAACCATTAATTATTTTTCACCTAGAATTTGTTACAGGTTTCCCAGTTGCCCTGATGATATGGCACTGTAATGTCATGATGTAAACTTTTTTTAGTAATGTGCTAATGTGGACCTTTTTTTTAAAGTCAATCCCCCAAATTTAAATATAATAACCTCTTCCTACTATTGAGCTACTGCAATACTTACCACAGATATTTCTCTGTAAAACTGTGGCGTAAACCTGCTGTTTCTTAGACATTAGTTACCGCCATGAGAGCTCAATCTTGAATTGATATATGTTAGGAATATAGGGGAATAATGCGAAAGCGAAGAATCGAAAATTGAAAATTATAAAAGTTGAATAATAGGGAAAATATAATAATGACAAAAGAATTAGGAATAAGGGAAATATATATATTATAAAATAAAAGAATAGAAAGAATGAATAATATATATATATATATATATATATATATATATATATATATATATATATATATATGCTACGTAAGGGAAAAATAAATAAAATGAATTCAAATGATGTCTGAATGAATGATTTATTACAAAGCAAATGCTACTCTAGTTATACATTCAAAAAGAACTAAAGATGCGGCAATTGCAAGAAGGAGAGCCAATTACGGAAAACATGCAAGGTGGACATGGAGCATGCAATGCCAACGGTTGAGGGAAAATGTCTTCATGGATATGAGCCACTAATTATTTTCTTAACAATCTCCACCTTAGATCAAATTCATTATGGAATTAACAACTGGAATAGTCGACTAAACTCAAACGCTGCTTGAAATTAGCAATAGGAAGAACCTCAAAATAACAGGATGGATCACCATCAACCTCCTATGCGACTGAAAGAGCATAAGCAATCAAGTTGTTTTCATCATCACTAGCATACTTAGCAGGTTTTTTAATTGTCCTCTTAGGACGATCCATAGCAATGGAATACTCTCGTTGTGGCTCGATGAGAGGTGCGACGCTAGTAGATGCATCATCTTTAGTATTACCATCAGCTGTAGTAACACTATCAATAGGCCTAAACTCAAACTCCACCTTTTCACCAGTATTTTGCGTCTCACCTGTACTGAGAACTTTCCCAAAAGAAAGTAGTGCATTTTCATCAAAAGTGATATCTCGACTCAGAATGATTTTCTGAGAATCATGAGACCAGAGACGATACCCTTTTGATTCAGAGGCATAACAAAGGAAAATGTATTACTTCAAAATATTTTGAAAACCAAACACCCTTTGGGGTTCTAATACTCTCTCTTTCACTTGTAGTATCAAGTTCTTCAGGGTCAAATTCGTCACTTTCATTTTCTAACTCTACCCTTTTCACATAATATTAACAATTGTATATATTCAACAGAATTAAGGTCATTTGTTTTGTTTCATAAGAACATTATTTACTCTTTTGCACTGGATCAAGCATAGGCTCAAGTTAATATACACTATCACCATAAGTAGTACTCCAATAACTTATCTTCTAGACTAGCTAGTAAATATATTATTTAATGAGGTGTGCGATTGGGAGAAATTTGGGGAGCCGTAGATCCAATCTATCACTCAATCACAAGTTGTGTAATTACAACGGGTTAATTAGACTCTAGTTTTTCTGCAGTACAAGTAATCTAATTCATGTCTTTCCTCGTTCTAGCCTTTTTCCATTCATGTTTTCGAACACCCATATGTTAGATAATAAATTTAGACTAACATGAACTGTAGTAAACGAGTAACCTGCCTCGTTGCAGCGGAAGCTTTAGGATCGCCCGAATATCCCCAGCCATAGTTGTTGGTATTGTCTCTGGGATGGTAAACCTGCAGAATGGACATTAGTGTTTTGTCTACCACTTCTCTCCCGAATACGTGATGGTGCGTGTCCTGAACTCAGGAGCTGTGGGAGGACTATTTTGCTTAGAAGCCTACATGCCATCAACATAGGCAGATATTCAGTTAAAGCTTAACTGAATATCCTGAGTTGCATAACAGATTAAGTCACTAATTGACTCAATCTCCTACTTGCACCACAGCCACCCAATAATACAATATATTATAATATATTGTATTTAGGGAAAATACTTACACCATACTTACCGCCTTCCATCGTAACATCAAATTAGACGACGAACCACTATACTACCTAAGCCCGAGTCTCAATTTGTTATTTGAAAAGTTGGGTAGAGCCGTGAATCATTTCAACCACAAAAATTTTGAAAGTAATATAATGTACCAATCTCCTAAACACACCCTAATAAAGCAATCACTGATCAATGCTCCAATATAGCTTTTAGTAAATTGTAATGGTCCCTAAAACAAAATGGAAGAAGAGGAGAGAAGTGGTGGAAGGGATATTGAGGAAATGACACCTTTAAATTGTTTCTAAAACATAATGCTTTCTTTATCTCATTTTACCTATTATATTGACTATTTATTATTGGTCAAATTAAACAAACTCTTTCTTCTTTATTAATTTTCTTTAGTTTTTTAAAACTTATTTTCAAATTAGATTTTTTGTTTAATAATATTTTTAATGTAATTTCTAAATATATAAATTTTGTATATTAATACTAAAGTTAATATATGAAAAATTGAAATAAAAATAATTTTAGTCAAACTTTATTAACCGAATCAAACAATAGAATAAATTTTTTATTCTTAAATTATATATCTTGTTACAAAAGGTGAAATTATACATCGTTTTTAGGGCTCTCACACTTTAACTTTAAAAAATAATAAATGTATAAATAACAATAACTCAGCAACCTTAGTTTGGTGCCCAATTATACATGTCATTAGTGTTAATTTTGACTGAGAATTATTTTTTAATAATTATATAATTGGAAATAAAATTAAACAAGTTTAGAAATGGAGAATTAAAGTTGTGAAATTCTAATAATTAATGAATCACATCGGATATTAACTCTGATTAATGATGAGATGAAGTATTTATTAGAGCATCTCCAACGGGAGATGCAAAACTGCAAAATCTGACCCCAAAACGCCAAATATGAAAATTGGACTGCTCCAAAGAGGGATTGCATTACGGCATAACACCAAACATTTTGGCGTTAGAGCATTTCCAAAACACCAAATTTTTTCAGCAAATGTCACATCAGAAGGAATATTCTCAGCATATTCTCACACCAAATTTTATTCATCCCCAACCCATTTACACCAAAACATCAAATTTTTACACTAAAATAATTTTATTTTTCAATTATTAGTTCAAATTTAGTTAGTTTAATATAATTTAGTTCGAACTTAATTAGTTTAATATAAAATATAATTTGTAATGTAAATAATAATTTTTATTAACATTAATTATTTTAAAAAAATCAAATTTAACAACATTTTTGAAAATTTAATTTATTCCACAATAATAATACAACATACAACATCTAGTACATTTAATTATCGGAATTATTAAATCGTTCCCACAAATGCTCAATCAATGCATTACGGAGTGCATAATGAGCTTATTTATCTTTAATTTGTCTATTTCGAGCAAGAAATTCTTGAAATATAATATTCTCATCTCTAGCTATATCAACTTCAGGAGTCGGTGCTTCCTTCCAACCTTGTATATCTGCTTGCTCATCACGTTCATCCTCAATGATCATATTGTGCATTATAATGCAAGATGACATTATATCATGCAATACACATTTATCCCAAAAACGTGCCGGTCCCTTAACTATTGCAAATCGTGATTGAAGAACTCCAAATGCACGTTCTACGTCTTTTCTACACGCTTCCTACATCATCGCAAATAACTTCTTTTTGGGCCATCGAGGTTCATGAATTGTTTGTACCAATGTGGACCATTTTGGATATATACCATCTACTAAATAATATCCAGTGTGGTACTGTTGTCTTTTAATAACATAATGACAAGGAGGTGTTATACCGTTTGCAAGATTGGAAAACAAATAAGATCTCTCCAACACATTAATGTCGTTATTCGACCCCGGCATACCAAAATGTGCATGCCAAATTCACAAATCATAATCGGCTACAGCTTCAAGAATAATAGTTGGTTCTCTACTCCTCCCAGCATATTGTCCAGCCCAAGCAGTTGGACAATTTTTCCATGTCCAATGCATGCAATCTAAACTCCCAAGCATCCCTGGAAAACCACGTTTTTCGCCAATTTGAAGCAACCGTGCAACATCATTAGCATAAGGTGCTCTTAGATATCGCTCCCCAAAGACCTCTACAATTGCTCGACAGAATCTCTTCAAACTTTCAATTGTAGTTGATTCTCCAATCTGGATATATTCATCTGCTGCATCTGCTGGTATTCCATACGCCAAAACTCGAAATGCTGCTGTAACTTTTTGTAAAGTAGATAAGCCCAGTCTACCGATTCTATCCTTCCGTTGCACAAAATAGTTGCAATGGCCTTTAACAGCATTGGCAATTCGTAGGAACAAATTTCGACTCATTCGAAATCATCTACGAAACATTGCTTCAGAATATTTTGGATACTCTGAAAAATAATCATTCCATAATCTTCGATCTGCTTCTTCACAATCACGATGAATCACTCTATGACCAAAAGTCGAACCTCCATGCCTTGGGGGTTGATTATCCATATTTTCCATGTAGGAAGCTATGGCAAGGTTGTGGCTAGTATATGCATGGGTTAATAACTGTGTTTGTGCTCGTATTGCACTTGCGAGATTGTGCTTAGAATCTGGTGATGATGAGGATGATGATGAAGAAAATGGCATAGGACGTTTTCCAGTGTTGGAATTCATATTTGAATTCGTATGTTTAGAGATAGATGATAATGGGTTGAATGCTCAATTTGTTGGTGATGAAAAACGTTTTTATAGGCATGATCAGAATTGTTTAGAACCGTTAGATTAGATCGTGAAGATCACATCCGTTCATTGGTATGCTTGTCCTTTTCCACACATACTCCAATAAAAGATATCACATGCATCTTTGAATCAGCTTTTATCTGAATTGTTTAGAACCGTTAGATTAGATCGTGAAGATCACATCCGTTCATTGGTATGCTTGTTCTTTTCCACACATACTCCAATAAAAGATATCACATGCATCTTTGAATCAGCTTTTATCTTAATTGTTTAGAACCTTTAAATTAGATCGTGAAGATCATATCCGTTCATTGGTACGCTTGTCCTTTTCCACACATACTCCAATAAAAGATATCACATGCATCTTTGAAGAATCAGCTTTTATCTGAATTGTTTAGAACCATTAGATTAGATCGCGAAGATCACATCCGTTCATTGGTATGCTTATATCTCTATAAATACTTAAATTCGATTTTAGAAGTAATATCACCTATCTTTTGAATATCAATATCTCTTTCTAGTTTAACAGTCATTGAAATATGTCAAAATCGTCACGTTCAATCCGAACTTCTTCATACTCTAATGAAGAAGATAAACTCCTTTGTACTATATTTATGGATATTGCCCAAGATCCTGAAAAAGGGCAATGATCGCTCTGCACCAGATTTATGGGAACACATTGCACAAGAATATAAACAAATGCTACCGGCACACATTTGTACCGATCGAACTTCAAGATCGCTGCATAGTCGTTGGGCAAATATATCAACAGCGGTTAGCAAACTAAGAGGGTGCATTCAACAAATAGAGAACATGAACCCAAGTGGTGCATCTGAACAAGATATTGTGAGTATCTTGTAAATTTGTGTTATTTAGTTTTCTCTTATTTTTTGTTTTAATTGCGTTGTTTAATTAGAATTATATTTTATTTATAACAGCTTGATAGAGCAAAGGAGTTAGTAAAACAAGATCCCAAATTCAAAGGCGGATTTAAGTTTGATCATGTATGGCCGATTGTCAAAGGCATGCAGAACTGGGAGCTTGCTAAATGTTGGAGGTCGAAAAAGACCTTCCGAAGGATCACAATCACAATCTTTCGGAACCGAGAAGTCAATAGGCTCTTCCTCATTTGCTGTTGATTTGAATGATGATTTTGAACTGATGAACATTGTAATGAAATGAACAATGTAGGTGAACGTCCTACGGGAAGGAAGAAGGAAAAGATGAAGCATAAACTCTCGGATGAGCGCAATCAATTTATTACCGCAATAGAACAACAAACTGCACAATTCAAAGGAATGTTCGAAAACAATCATGAGCTACTCCAAAAACAATATAAGCTTGATTTTCTTACAGCTCAAAATGTAGCGAACAAAATAACATTGGGAAAAGAAAAAATGGCATTAGCAAAACGAAAAGAAGATAACAAAATCTTAAAGATGAATTTAAATTTGATAGAAGATCCAGCTGTGCGTGAGTCGATTAGACGCCAACAACTACAAATTGTTGCAGAGGGAAATCAAGAGCATGGATGAGGAGTTTGATCTATTCTTTGATAATTTGGGAGGAAGTAGGAGTGGACTAGGAAATTATTAATTTTATTATATTTGTTCAAAATTGTGTTGTATTTTCTAATATTATTATTATGTCGTATGTATTTTAATTTTTATTATGTTCTAGTCATGTTTGATGTATGTCATATGTATTTTAACTTTTATTATGTTCAAGTTATGTTTAATGTATTTGAAATTTTAATTAATATATATTCAATATTAGTCTTGTTTCGATCGTCTCAATGGGATCTTTAAAATGGTATAATTTTTATTTAATAATACAAAGTTTAAATATAAGTATTTAACAAAATAAAAAATTACATATAAAACAATTAAAGGATATATTTGAAATTAAAAAAAACAAGGGCAAAAGGGTATTTTGGCATTATAGCGCGGATGAACAGTGCAGCGCCAAATATAGCGTTGCACTGTTCATTAACGCCATTCCCTTTGGCGTTTTAGCGCGATGACATCCCACCTTGG